TTTTTTGAAAACTAAAATTCTGAAATTTTTGAAAATCAATAGAATAATTTTCAAATTTAATAAATCAAAATTCGAAATTATTAAATTTGAAAACCATGAAAATATACAAAAACCAAATTAAATTTTTTGATTCCCAATGATTTAATATGAATAGGCTCTGATACCACTTGTTACTTTATGAATTTGTCAAGATTTTCATGTCAAATTATCAAGAAACTGAATTAACGCGAAACGTACCTTAATCAATTGATTTCTGACTTGAATAATGAATCTTAATCGGTAAATTTTCAATTTGGTTGTTTCAAACTTCCTTCTTAATTCTTGATTGTGGGTTTATGGATCTTCCTCTTCATGTACTTTCTCTTGTATTCTTGTGTTGATGGGATGTCACATAGAATGAAAAAAATTACACATGAATTGGGGACCATAACCCTTTATATATTTCCATATGTATTCGGTCAATCGTTAAATACAAACCCTAATGGATCCGGTCTCTACACATATAGTCCGGCTCACACTTTATTTAGATGCTCAAAGCTCAATTACTTAATTCCTTATTAGATTACTTTAATTTTGGGCTTAACTTTAAGATAACATTTATACACGGTTAATTACATATGTCGGCCCATCATGACAAATTAAATAATTTCCCAACAATTCTGGTTTATTCGGGGACTAGCCCCTTGCAGCAATGCATTCTGGTTCGTTTCAGAACTAACCTGATGCAACAAATCTATCATATGTTGCCTTGGAGTTGTCCTCAGATCGACACCTTGAAGAATATAAAGATCAGGCCATTACATTTGTGGACTGACGTTTAGCATATGTCCGAAATGCGGCCTAGGCATTGTAGAGTATCCACTGAACCTTGAATACGAAATCTCTTGAACAGATATGTGATATGCTAGAAATAAAATGCATGGTAACACCTTAGACGAAGCCGCTCCTACGGTCTCAGGACGTCTTGGAGCTGCAGCTCTATCACAATATACATCCCAGAATAAGGACCACCAATTCTTTTAAAAATCCTTCAGAAAAATTAACTGCTGGGAAAAGAACAATAATTAAATTATTTAAATTTATGACAGGAGAAAACCGTGAAAAAATTGATTTGAAATTACATTGTGGCTACTTTCTTTATGCATAATTTAATGAACCGGTCGTGCACAAGAAAATAGAAACATCTCCATCCATTAATAAATAAAGTGATGTACACATACAATTATTTGGCATTCAATGTCAAATTGAGGGATATTGTGTAACAGCACTGACATAAAATGAACCAATTATTTGAGTAAAGCTTACACAAAAAAATTTACTCATATCAAAATGCAAAAGAACTATTTTTCAAGAAAATAAAAATAAAAAGTAACTATAGAATGTAGAAAAGGATGGTCAAGAGAGAGTTCATATACTAGTAGCCCAGCTTCTCTAGCAAAATTCTCAGCACTTGTGTGCATGTTATTTCTGACTACTGGGAGGGGTGCCTGGGTAGGGACCTCTTCATTGAAAAATTAAATTATTATTTATCTCATTATAATGCGGAATAATGGGACTAAACAAGGGCTATAATTTTTTAAATAGTGTCTTTTGGAGAGCGTGAGGCTGAAAAAGAGAGTTTTTTTATTTGCGTGTAATATTATTTTATATAAAATTGTGTATTTGAAAATAAGACAGTAAAGAATAAATTTTTGGGATAAATATGTCTCAAGAAGTTGCAACCCCAAGATTTTCTTCAAGAAAAATTAAACAAACCCTTGAGAATTTCTTGAAGAAAAATCAAACAAAACCTCGAGAAATTCCTCTACGAATAAGTTCTAAAAAAAAATCATGAAATCAAGTATATCTACAACAAAATTAAAATAAAATCACGGGATTAAACACATGTATAAACTCACATCTTTTGAGCATCCCAATTGTTCATGATGACAAAAACAACTCTTCAACTTAGCAATGACAAGAAAAAAGGAAGGGTTGAAAATCTTGCTCTTATAAGTATAACGTTAATCAAAGCGAAACCAATTTGGTTGATGGCAAGAAAAAATGGCACTAGGTGTGTGTGTGTGGGTGGGGGGGGGGGGGGGG